AAATTATACCCAAAATAAAGCATGTAAGAACATAAGGAGTTCATTGATATGATATTTAACAGTGAATGTTATCTACTTTTTTTGTGACCTTTATTGAGAGGAAGGTTCTCAGTAAGAAAATATAATGATATGCTGCTTGGAGAAAATGTGGTAACAGTTTTCTAGCAAGTCAGACTTTTACTATTTCAGTACAGATCTCCGATGATGTGTTACCTTCACTGAGACGTAAGTTTTCAGTTGATTATCCTTTTTATTTTTTGGCAACAGCTTATTTTAAAAATGCAAGAAGTATATGCTATGACCTACTTTACCTATTCTAAAAATAATACTTAAAACCACAAAAATCATTCTCATCATTTTTCTAATAGACTAGACATAAACATGCTTCATCTGTGAAATGTATATCATTAAAGTATATCACAGGAAAAACAAACTCTGGAAGTTATACATTTTTTTTATTTTTTTTATTTTTAAAAATAATTTATTTATTTTTAGCTTTCAACATTCATTCCACAAGTTTTAGAGTTCCAAATTTTTTCCCCATCTCGTCCTTCCCCCCACCCCAAGATGGCAGGCATTCTGAATACCCCTTCCCCTAATCCACCCTCCCTTCTATCTCTCCCCCCCTTCTTTTATCCCCTTCCCCTTCAATTTTCCTGTAGGGCAGGATAGATTTCTATACTCCATTTCCTGTATATCTTATTTTCCAGTTGCATGTGAAAACAATTTTTTTTAACATGTGTTTTTAAAACTTTGGGTTCCAAATTTTCTCCCTTCCTCCCTCCCACCCACCCTCATTGAGAAGTCAAGCAACTCGATATAGGTTATACACGTGTAGCCATTCAAAACACTTCCATAGTAGTCATGTTGAGAAAAACTAAGTATATTTCCCTTCATCCTATCCCACCCCCCATTTATTCTATTCTCTCTTTTGACCCAGTCCCTTCTTAGAAATGTTTGCTTCTGATTACCCCCTTCCCCAATCTGCCCTCCCCTCTATCATCCTCCTACTCTCTTGTCCCCTTCCCCCCTTATTTTCCAGTAGGGTAAGATAGATTTCCATACCTAATTGAGTGTGTATATTATTCCCTCCTTAAGCCAAATCTGAGGAGAAAAGATTCACTCATTCCCTCTCACCTTCCCCCATTTCCCCTCCACTGTAAAAGCCTCTTCTTGTCTGTTTTATGTGAGATAATTTACCCCATTCTACCTCTCCCTTTCCCTTTCTCCCAGTATAATCATCTCTCACCCCTTAATTATATTCTCCAGATATCACCCCTTCATCTTCAACTCACCCTGTGCCCTCTATCTATCTATCTAGATACATACATATAATTGTTTTTCCTGCAACTACTCTAATACTGACAAAGGACTCATGAATTACAAATGTCATCTTTACATGCAGAATGTAAATAGTTCAACCTTAATAAGTCTCTTATGATTTCTCTTTCTGTTTACCTCTTTATGTTTCACTTGAGTCTTGTAACTGAAAGTGAAATTTTCTATTCAGTTCTGGTCTTTTCATCAAAAATGCTTGAAAGTCCTATATTTGACTGAATGTCCATTTTTCTCCCTGAAGGATTATACTCAGTTTTGCTGGACAGGTTCTTGTCTACTTTTAATAAATGTTAGTAAAAATATATCTGTACACAAGAGAAATTAGTTTGCATCCCTTATGATTTGTACGTAGACCAGTTTAAGAGAAAGCTAACAAAATTCTCATCACAAAGACAACCCAGAAAGACACAAGGATTTGGACTTTTGTTTGTCCATTTGCCTGTTTTTGCTGGATCAGAGGAAGAGCTATGAGCAACCTTAGAGGTCATTTGGTCCAAACTGACTTATTTGTAGACAAGACCACTAAGGCTGAGAGAGAAACAACAGTGGTCTGGGACTCTAAGACAAGTCCTTTCACTCAAAATCCAGTGCTTTGTCCATAAACCAGGCTGTCTTTTCAGACCTGGAAATGCACTTGAGGAATGAGAGACAATTCAGAGCCCATACAGGCTGAAAGACCCATGGAGCTGCTGGAGGAGTGAACTCTGAAGAGTTCTAAGTGGAAAGGAAGGAGGAAAAGGTCTGAGTTGACATCAGCTCCATGAGATCACTGGGCTGTGGCGCTGCCTTGAGAAGCTTAGGCAGCTTGGAAAACCCCATGGGATGGAACTAGTGACCACTCTCTTTCTAGCTATGTGGGGTGAGGTAGGGGGAGGGGGTATGTGGGCCCCTTTGCCAAACCCTCACTCCATGGGAAAGGAGGAAGGAAATAAGCAGGTTTAAGCACCTATTATATGCCAGGCTCTGTGCTAAGCAATTTATAAATATTACCTCATTTTTTTCTTCATAACCACCCAGGAAGTTAGGTTCTATTGAGTCTTCATTTTCAGTTGAGAAAACTGAGGCAAACAGAAGTTAAATGACTTCCCAGTGTGAGGCCAGATTTGAACTCAGCTCTTTCTGATTCCAGGTCCAGTGCTCTATCCAGTCCACTGTCCCACTTAGCAGGTGATGTTAGCTCTCAGGAAGTCTGGCCATATCTGTAGTAACTCTTGGGGCTGGATGCGGTGAACCAGGACAAGTCGGTGGAAGGCACAATGGTCATACTTCCTCCTGGACATCAGGAAGGTGTTGGGGGGAGGAGGTGTGGGCTTCACTCCAAGCTGTTTCAGGCACAACCCCACAAACACATCCTCCAAGTAGATGGCTTTGATTCTCTGAGCTACAGTCAGGATCCTGAGGGCCAGGGGGCCAGACATCACATAGCCAGGGCCCCCACAATAGTCTGGATACCTGTCCTGGGGATACAGCTCTGGAGGCATGTACCACTTGTGACCCCGTATCCGGAAGGGGACTGACTTTCTGTAGATGCGGCCTGTGATGAAGTTGGGCCATAGGGGTCCATTGGGCTGCAACACTTGCTTTACTAGGTAGCTGGGGTTTAGGAAGACATCGCTATCCACCTTGAACACATAGTGAGCAGTGGGACAGTACTGGGCCATCCATTCCAGCCCCTTGAGGACCTTGAGAGTCAAGTTGTGGTATGTATCCAGGAAGCCCACCTGGAGGAGATCCCCATGCTCCCTGTCCTCCTCCTCCAGGAGGGCCTGAAGTTCCTGAGCAAAGAGGGGTAGGGACAAGCCAAGAACAAAGAGGCGGCGAATGACCACATCAGGAACCAAGGTCTCATTGCCCCATGTTTGCTGGATGGCCTGGCGTATCCCCACATCCTGGGGCCGAGTCATCACCAGCATGAGCAGGAAGGGGGCACCTCTGGGACCCCTCACACTTGTCAGGATGGTTGATCAGGAAGGGGTAGGGATAAGGGTACCTCAGGTCCAAGGGGTGTGGTGTCCGAGTCTGCCACTCAAACTTCCTTGAAGAGAGGCCCAGAGGGTCTTCAGTGGGAGCTTTCTGGGATGAGGGCCACAGATCCAGTGAAGGTATGCAGGGACTTTGCTGTTGATTTACCAGCAACATCAACAGCCCCATGAAAGCTGAACCCAGTAAAACCTTCAATATTAGCTGCCTCCCCATCAGCCTCATGATGCAAAAGTTCTGTTCAAGAAAGAGGAGGTTAGCATTGGGTAAGAAGTTTCATACATTCCCCACCCCTAGGCCTCCTGCTCATTTCCCCCTCTCTGTGGACTAGATGTTTCCTGGTTTATGGTGCGAGGATTTGCTGATCTAGGAATAGTGGGAGGGATAAAGGCAGGGGAGCTGAGAAGAAAGAGGAATCAGAAGGAGAGGTATTAGGGGTAGGGAGAAGTGTACTGTGCAGGGCAAAGAGCTTTGGATTGGGAGATAGGATCCCTGGCCTCTGGTCCCAGCTCTTCCATTATGTAATCTCAGGCAAGTCCTTCCCAGTCTGACCTGGAAGATTTCTTAGGACTGGTCCAACTCTGACAGTCTACAGTATTGAGAAAGAGAGACTGAGGGGTGAAGGGGCTGCAGAGTGCCTACATGGGGAGCAGTTCATGAACTATCACCCCTAATTATGTTAAGAACTATCGCACAAGGAAGGACTAGAGTTCTACCCGTCACCTTCTGAAGACTGAGTTGTTAAGAATTAGAATGATTGGTAGAATTTGTCCTCATTTCCTCAGAGTCTTGCTTTGCTTAATTCTTCTGTGTTTGAAGTCCTTTCCCTACCTTAGAGTCCCAGAGTCATAACAGATTGACCAATTGGAGGTGAGGTCTGGACCCAGAGTTCTTGCCCTTAAAAATCTGTTATCTGTCCTGGAAACTATTCTTGTCTCCCTTCCCCTACCCTAGCCCTCCCAGAAGAGGAGACGGACTTCTAGATTATTGCCCTGAGAAGCCCAGGGGCTAGATTGGAGAAGGTCCCTATGACACATGTCTGACCCCTAATCTCAGCCCTAATCCCAGAGTTTCTTTTTCCTGAAGGTAATGGCAGGCAGACTCAATGACTTGCACTTAGTAGGAGCTTGATAAATGTTGAATTTAATTCTGTGCCTGAGAAACTCAGGGCCTTGAGCTGGTCTCCTAGGTCCCTCTATCAAATTCCCTTTTTTCTTTTCTTTCTCCTCTTGCCCAGCAGAGTACTCACCTTCTTCTTTGACAGGATGCCTGTGATGCCTCAGTAGCAGGACGACAACTCACAAGGGACTGACTGCCAGACTTCTGGCTAGGGAGGTACATGATATGGGAGGAATGTGGAGGTGGGAGGGGTAGGGCACCTACTCAGTCCAAGTCCATCTCAAAGTATGGGGCAGGGTGGATCACCTAGGCAACAGGGCAGGACCATCAGGCCAAGCTTTCTGGAACCCATGGGCTCAAGCCCATAGATCTGCNTGGAGGTGGGAGGGGTAGGGCACCTACTCAGTCCAAGTCCATCTCAAAGTATGGGGCAGGGCGGATCACCTAGGCAACAGGGTAGGACGGTCAGGCCAAACTTTCTGGAACCCATGGGCTCAAGCCCATAGATGTAT